CCCGCCATCTGCACCCTGCATCTCCTACGCCCAAGGGCTTCCTGCTGAGGAGTCGGGCTACAGCCGCCGCAGGGTACAGCTTCAAAGAAGGACACCTTGGAAGCTCCCAAGACATGAGGAAGAATCAGGCTGCCCCCTCAGAGGGGCAGGTGCCAGGCAGTAGGCAGAGCCCCAGGTCTGGAGTCGTGAGTCCTGCTTCATGTCCCAGCCGAGGCCCCACAGCCACCGCTGGTAACAGAGCGGGTCCCCCAACGTCTTGTGCTCGCGAGCTACGTGGGCTGCAAGCCTCTCGCATAGAGCGTGTGCAGGATCAGGGAAGGCAGCCCTCGCGTCCCCAAGCCACCTCCGCGTGCCAGGACTTGCTCATGTTCCTGCACTTGTCTCCACGTGCCCGCGGCCCCGTGAGGCCACCGCTGCGAGACAGAGCACCGTGTGTACAGCGGCAGTTCCGTCCAGGTGCTGACCGTGTGCCAGCTGCTGTCCTGCACACATGACATGTATGAGCCCATTTAATTCCCACAACAGCCCCACAGGCAGGTGCAATTCGGTTGTCATCCCCACAGCACAGTGAGGACACTGAGGCTCAGAGAGATCAAGGACTGGACCAAGGTCACAGGACTAGAAAGTGGCCCAGCCCGGGTTGAACCTGGGCAGCCTGGCTCTGACCACTGAGCAACTCGAAAAACATTTAAGACGGGGCCTGGCACAGACTTAGCATTCAACAGGAGTGAGCTGCCACTGTATCCCCACCTCCGGGGGAGAGACCGAGGCTCAGGCTAGATCTTTCCCAGCCCACCCCCTGGCCCTCCGTCAGTAAGCGGCAACCCAGGGGTTCAACTTCAGGTTCATCTGAAGGCAAAGTGGACGTGTCCACTACTCTGCGCTGTGCTGTGTCCAAGCGTCTGCCTGAGCCTGTCCTGAGCCCTCATCCCGCCACTCCCGCCTGCGTCCTGAGCGGCCGCCCCAGGGCAGCAGCAGCTGGTCCCTTCTCTCTCCCTCTCCGGCCTCTGCAGCTTCACTCTGAGCCTGAGGGACGAGGCCGCCCACTCTCCCGTGACACTCAGGGCTTCCTTCGCAGACAGGACTCTGGCCTGGATCTCCCCGTGGGGACGGAAGAAACTGATCTCGGCCCCCTTCCTCTTTCACCCCCAGCGATTCTTCGAGGTGGGTCAGAGCCGGCGGCCACGTCCCTCCAGGATGACGGCAGAGCTGAATTCCCAGAATGCTCTGGGAGAATGTGGGCAGACGCTGGTTCTGGTGGGGGTGGGGTGAGACGTCCTGGGACAGAGACGAGGTCCCTGTGGTGGCCCTCAACCCTCCACGCCGATGCCAGAACTCGGATTGGTTAATGCGGGTGGGACCCCAGCATCCGCTAATGATTAAAACGCCCCCCTAATGATGGCAACGTGCAGAAGCACCTCTCGGCAGGAGGCAACCCCAGCTACAGCTGGTGACACTAAGTCCCAGGGCTGGGGGGCCTTGTTGAAGGCTGCAATGGGCTGGTGACAAGCGGGGCCCCCATCCTATTCTCTGCAGCCCGGGGTGCAATCTCTGAGGAAGGAGGGTCTCGCTGCGTAGAGCACAGGCCAGCGGGGCAGGGCCTGCCTGGACGCCCCCACCACTCGCGCCCCTTCCCAGGTGCTGCTCCTGTGCCAGGAGGAAGGGCTGAAGCTGGCGCTCAACGGGCAGGGGCTGGGGGCCACCACCCTGGCCCGGCAGGCCCTGGAGCGGCTGCGGGACCTCCGCATCAGTGGAAGTGTCCAGCTCTACTGTGTCCACTACTCGGGGGACCCTGGCCAGACAAGAGGAAGGCCAACCAAGACCCAGGGCCCCACGGTCCCGCGCCCGCTCTCCCCACCTCATTAAACTGTCCACCTGTCACCACCCCATCCGGCCTGGCTCCTGGGGTCACGAGCCTGAGTCTGCAGGGGCTTTGGGCGGCGGCAGAGGGAAGGCAGGAGGCGAGAGGCTCCTTGGGCTCTGCCCCTGCCTCCCCGGGAGCTGGGATTTGGCTCCATCTGCCGCCAGGGCCCACAAAGCTCATGAAGCAGCTTTTGAAGCCCAACAAGATACTCCAAATACAGTGGCTTAAAGAATTCGGGTGCTTATTTCATTCTCACCTAGCAACTCTGCAGAAAACGGTCTAGGTCAGTGGGGCAGCTCTGCTCCCAGGGACACTCAGGTCTGCCCTAGCTGTCACCCCACCACCCCCAGGGCATCCTCATTGTCCAAGTGGCTGAAGCTGGGTTGCCACCATCTCTTGGTTTTGGCCCTGTTAAGGCAAATAGAGACAGCAGACGAGCCCCAGGCCTGGGACTGACTCTCCCGTCGACACTCGCCTTCCATCAGCAGGCACTCGGTCTCACGGTCACGCCACCGCCAGGGAGGCTGCGGTGCTCTCCCCAGGACAGCCACACGCCCAGACACGAAGCCATGACTATAAGACAGGGAGAACGAATCCGTGTGGACAGCCAGAGTCTTGGAGACAAGTAGATGCTGTTAATATCCCGTTTCATAAAGCAGGACACTGAGGGTCACAGCGGCTAAGTCATTTGCCAACATCATGAGAGCACGTGACACAGTGCCAGGATGAGAGCCCAGGGATGCGGCCTGCAGAGCGTGTGGCTCCTAACCGCGGTGCCCTGGCGCACCGGCACTTCCAGGTACGAGGCCATGGGAGGGGGACTTGGGGGACATCAGAGAAACTCCCACATTGAGAAGAAGTACAGACAAGGGAAACAGGGAACACCACCCAGGAAACAAAGAGGCCAAATGAAAAATAAGACTTTAATTATTATTATATACTACGTATAATTGCACATAACATATACACCATATAAAATATATATATGAATCCTTGTCCCCATCTTCCTACCAGCGCTGTGGGAGGAGTGACAGGTGAACCAGCAGCTCCAGTTTGAACAGGGCTCCCCAGTGTCCACCCCACTCAGCTCTCATTTAATTATCAAAAGTAACCTGCAATGTAGACCAGAGGGGGCCACCTGCCCCATTTCCCTGGCGGAGGAAACAGTCTCCAAAGGGTGCACTGGTGTGGAGAGGGTCTCTCCGCTGCCAGGGTCACCGGGAACCCTTCTGGCTGTGTGACCTTCAGAGCAACAGGTCCCCACCCCTGTCCCACTCTGGTGTCCCTTTAGAAGTTTTTCCAGACTGAGAGGTGCTCTTCAGGTATGTGACACACCTGGGTCCACTCCTGACGTGACGCTGGACAAGTTGGACAAGTTCCCTCAACTCTGTGAGCCCAGGTCGCCACGTGTAGACGGGGGCCCTGTCAGGCTCGCTGTCAGGCTCAGGGTGGGGGCGGGAGTTCTGCAGAGTGATGGGCGTAAGGGGATGGGGCCATGTGAAGGTTAAGGTCAGGTGTGAGCCTGACTGGATGGAGGAACACCCAGAGAAGGGCGAAGGGCGTTACTGGTGAGCGAGTGAGGGTGAGTCCTGACCAGAGGACAGTGTGAGTGTCACTGAGCTGGGGGACAAGATCCGCCCTCAGTGTGGCCGGGACCACCCAACCCCCTGGGGGTGTGGGGAGAACACAGACAAACGCAGATGTGTCCATGTCCCTGCTGGAGCTGGGACACTCCCTTCCTCCCTTGTCCCGGAACAACAGTGCCAGGCTCCCCAGCCTGCAGACTCCAGGGCACACACCAGCGGTCCCCTGGGTGCTCAGGCTTTGGCCGCAGACTGGGGACAGCACGGGCTTCCCTGGCTCTTTGCCACCCCACTTGGACTGAGCCCTGCTGCCAGCACCCCAGAGTCTGTGTCTGGGGGATGGCCTGTCCTGATAGTTGTCATCCTCCCTCACCTGTGAGTCCATCCCCCTCATATACATCCCTCTCCTCTCTCTGCCTGTCCCTGTTCCCACCTGCCCAGCCTGTTCCTGTGTCTCTGCAGAGCTCCGACTCACACGGGCAGCAGAGGCGCCAATGTTGAGGGACGTGGGGACAGGGGACTCGCTCTGCCCGCCCAGCCCCCAGAGGGTGGTCCACAGGGCTCAGCCCACCCAGGGAGCCCGACTTGCTCACGTCCTGCTACAAACAGGCCCGGGAAGGGCTGCTCCAGATCAGTATATCGCACGTCCCCTGTTCCATTTGTCACACCCATTTTGATCATGAGCGATTCTAGGACCTGTCTACCTCTAGGAAATGAAAAGCCACTGAGGTCGTGGAACCTCAGCTCTTTCTGAGTGGGTGGCAGGCTGCAGAGGACCCTGGTCAGAGCAGATGCAGGAGGGGACACACCTGTGACTACACCTTTGGGAAGAAACCTTTGACATCAATTCGGAGGACAAAAATATTTGCAACAGTAAAATCATGTTGTGTATTTATTAACCAAATAATCCCAATCAAATAAAAACCAAAGGTGCTTCTGCAGCTAAGGAAAGTGAGACAGCGCCAGCACATGACAGGTGATGCTGTGACCTGTCACAGTGTGACCGTGGATGTGAGGTGATCTCTGTGGATAACATTATTTACACTCTCCTCTGTAAATACACAAGTCATAGACACAGCCGTCTCTCTCTGGAGTGAGACCTTACATTTTTCAAGTAGCGCTGTGCAACACTAGCCTCACGCCTGGAGATGTCTGATCCGGACACCCTGGACCTTCCCCAGTTCTGTCCCCGCCGTGGCAGCAGCACAGGAAAGGACTGATGATCTCGGGGGGTGGCCCACTGTCCCCAAAGCTCCTGCACACAGTGTGGGGCCTTGTGACATAGAGGAACCCGTCACTGTCCTCTAATGCCCCACTCGGATGGCGCCTCCCCAGCCAGGCCTGGTCCCCACTGTCCCCTTCCCTGCCGCGCCACTGCCAGAGTGACTCTCACGCAGCTCCGTGCTCCTCCTGTGTGTCCCTCACACTGCCCCGTGTGCGGGAACCTCCGCCCATGGCGTCCACTCTCCTGACCCAGGACTTCCTGGAGGGGACGGACTGTGTCACCCTCACCATTGTCCCCCTCCTGCCAGCAAGAGAGCCTTGAACACATCAAATGCTCACTCGTGTTTATTAAATGCAGCAGTGACTGAAGAGTTAGGGTTAAGCGTCTAGATATTTGTTCCTCCAACCCACGAGCTCACGTGCAGGGGGGCACAGGGAGGGTGTCCCCCAAGGCCCCAGGCATGGGTGTCCCCCAAACTGATCCATATGCCCTAGGCATGGCCTCTTTGTGAAAATCCATCTTAAATTCCCATCTTCTGTTGAATAGAGGAACAGCGCGATCCAGCAGGCTGAGTGCAGAGCGCAGGCTGAACTGGAGCGTGGAGTCGATTATGCAAAGAGCTGCAGAGATTTTTCCCTCAGTTGTCAGGACAGGAACAAGCAGGGTCATGGAGGCCCAGAAGGGAAGGAATTCTTTTGGTGCCCATGAGAGACATTTCTAGTATTTTGAGCTTCGGTTATACAGACTGTAAGGACTCATTGGAACACTACGCAAGTGAGTTAGCTCTTTCCTGCTGGTTGACGTCCACTCATCTCTCTAGGACAAACAGACACACGGGAGGGGTGTTAAGGGCGAAGGAGGGGCGGCACTGAAACCCTGAGGCCCCGTGGGGCTCCTCACATCCTGGGCAGGGAAGAAGAACTGGAGGACCCGCCAGGCTCCACCCTTTGGGGCATCTGTGCACCCTCTGAGGAGCTCCGGGGCTCACCACTGCTTCTTGGTATGCTCTTGGTTCTTGCACGGTCCATTTTGTTTCTTCATTGAGTCCAAAGTTGCCAGGAAGCAGACCGTGAACAGGATAGCGCATAACGCCAAGTTAGGAATCTAGGAGAGCAGAGGGGCGGGGATGGAGGTCAGATGGGGCCTCAGGGGGTGAGGGGTGATGGTGATGTGAGTCCAGGACCAGGAGGGTTTGTCTGCCATCGAAGTGTGGCCGGCCAAGGACCATCTCTGACTTCGGGGGATGGGGTCCCCTGTCCTCTCTCAGCCTCACGGGGCAACATCCCACCCGCTGTCTGTGAGAGTCACGTGTGGGGTGAGAGTCTGGCCATTTCAACGCTCCCTGCCAGCGCTCCCTGAGGGACAGGGTCATCTGTTTGGGGAAACACCTTGACCGGTGGCTTCAGGTGCGGGAGGCCTGAGGTGGGGTCTGGAGTCACACAGGGAAATGGAGCTGTGCTGTGCAGGCTGGGAATAGGAATTCGAGGGTGCACACAGGCTGCAGAATGAAGAGCGAGACGGTGGCAGGGGACAGAAGGTCCCGAGCGCCATGGCGGCAGGTGCAGCCTGCAGGGAGAGGCTCCTGCCCGAGACCCAGACTCGCCAAGCAGGGCTGGCGACGCCCCAGGGATGGGTGGTTTGCGGGCTGTGATGTGAACCTCCGCCCTCCCGCTGACCCTCTGCAGAGAGCCAGCCACTGAGAGGATCTTCTGGGCTCCTGACAGTGACATTTTGTGGAGGGGAGGAATGGGGACTGTCCCTTTGGCTTGGGAAAAAAGAGTCAGTGAAATGATCCCCACATTGGACTAACTGAGCAGCAGGAGGGACCCAGGAGCAATGCAGCCCTCTGCTTGTTGTCCCCGAGAACACCCAGGGGTGCCGGGTCTCCCAGAGCAGCTGGGAGGAGAGTTTCCAGAGAATCCTTTTGCATCTGAGGGACAAGGGAAGACCTAGGTACCATTTGGGTACCAATTATGTGAAATGATAAACATGACAGTATTAATCTTATCAATATGAATAAGGTGCACGGCACCTGGTAGGTAACAAGGAAAAGTTTCTCAATAATCATTTTTAAACTGGCCTTGGGGGGAGCCAGCAGCTCAGGGACTTGTCCCTTTGGAGAGGCGTCTCCTTAGCCCTTTCCTTCTCCCCCCTCAACTGAGCAGCGGTTGTCACACGGCCACTCGGTACCCGAGGCTAAGTGCAGCACCCTGACAGGCACAAGCTGGGAGGGGACAGGTGCAGACCAGCTGAGTGTCACTCACAGCAGAGGGGTAAGAGCCATAAAAGAGCAAAAAGAGGGTCCCAGGGCCCTGAGGGGAGGGAGGTTTGCTTCTTCCCAGGGGCCTTAGCGAGGGTGGGGTGGGAGCAGCCTCCCGGGTAAAGAGGGGGCAGGATGAAGGAGTCGGAGTCAGTGAGTCCCGGGAGCTCAGAGGAGAATCTGGGCCTTGTGCACTGAGTATTCGGTGGTTTTCAATGGTGTTTTTAAAGAAAATTCTTTTTATACCTAGAACCTTCCAAGGAACAAGGGCCCCTCAAGCACTGAGATTGTTGCTCTTTGATGGGAAATAATTCCAGCTGTCAGACCCTGGAGCCCCTGCATTCCGGGGTCATCGTGTGCAAAGCAGCAGTGACTAAAGGTCACCCTTCAGGGTCCCATGGGCTTCTGAGGCTGGAAGGTGGGGTGTCGGTTGGCATGAGAGGAGGTCTCCGCCAGAGATCAGACCTTGGAGGCTGAGATTACAAGCTGGGTTTCCTGACTGTGTCTCTGTGTGCTGCAGGGCATTGGCTGTGCTGCTGGGGTTCCTCCCAAGTAAAGTCCCACGTTCTTCCTCCCTTCCCCCTCCTCCCTCCTCCCTTTCTCCCCAAATCTCCCAGGCCCCCGGGCACCGACCTCATCACTGGGAAGTTTCTCTGTTTCCCTGCTTGTGCCTGTCCTCAGAGGACAACAAACACCTCCACCCTCATTCCACTTGCCCGTCCTAGTGTTCAAGGAAAGTCACCTCTTCTGAGAGCCAACCATTAACTCTACCCAAGGCCTAACTGTGCGCTTCCCTAAGAATTCCTGAGAACTGGCCTTGAGCAACTGACTCTGACCCCAAAGGCAGCAGCACGGCCCACAGAGGGCAGGGCCTGGGGTTCCTCTGCCATCCGCTGCGGTCCCCTCTGCCCGCCAGCCCACGGAGAACGAGCTGCCCAGGGGCCCTGGGAGGATGGGCTGACCTGCACACAGCGGCCCCTGGGAGTCCTTTGTCACAGCTGCTTCCCTGTCCAGTCCCGCAGTCGCCTCAGGAGCCTGAGATGGCCTTTGGGACACGAGTCCCCATGTCCTCAGCTGCTCGGCTCCTGAATACACCTGCTGTGCCTGACACCCACCCCCTCTCCAGGGGGCTCCTCCGTGTGGCCAGCAGCCCACCCTGCTTTGGGCAGCCATTGACCAGGGTCAGCCGACCTTTGCCCTCCTCCTGACAATGTCCTCCCAGTGAGCACAGCCAAGCAGCACAGACTCCCAACGTTCCTCCTGGTCCTTTCTTGGTCCATTTCCTGGCACTGACTTGGTCAGGCAGCCATGTCCCTGCCTCAGTGACCCCCAGGGTCCCCTGACTGGTTCCACCTCCTGTCCCTGCCACTCCACATCCAGCCCAGGACCACGGAGGCCTCCCATGGGCACGTCTGGTCGCGACCTTCCTCGGGACTCGGGGTGCAGGACACCCCTGCGGGCAGCTGCAGGCCCTTCCTCACCGGCCTCCCTCCCCTCCTCCCCTGACCCCTGCAGCCCTCACATCCGGGTCTCTCCCCCGACACCCCACACCTGAGGGGCTGCCCTGATGGCCCCAGCCTGGCTGAGTGGCCCCTTGCTGGGATGCCCGCGTCTCTTGCATCACCTCCCCTCCTCCACAGGAGACCCAGGACAGCCCTCTGGACTCAGAAGGGACATAGCCCCTCCGCCAGGAACTCCTAATCTCTCACAGAAACAGATTTTGCATAAGAACAGAATTTTGATACAACCTTTGAATTAGAAGCTGGCACTCACATGTCCCCAGACTAGGAAACCTTACTGAGTCCTCCCCATGGGGGGTCGTTCCCTTGTAGATTTTCCCTGAAATATCAGGGACTGCTTACCACCACAGGCATCCTGAAGCCTCAGCCGCTGTGTCGGGTGTTCTGTCCCCTGCCTGCAGGGCGTTCTTTTAAACTCTGGGAACCTCACTTTCAATTTCATTTTCCTCTACTCCCAGCCAATCATTCTCTAACTTAATTTTGAACCACAAAAACAAAAAACACACGACAGGTGCATGACATGTGTAATCACTTGGCCCCTGACACTCAGAAACAGAAGAGGAAATAATATCCCCTGAGTCACCAACCACATACTGGACAGTCCTTCCTGACCCGGGGAAGGGCTGCTTTGAAGCCAGCTCACTGTGCCCTGATCATCACCCTGATTACTGAGTCAGCTTTTGCTCTGGAAGCAAGCAAACCCAGCATCTCGAAGACTCAGGACAGAGACTTCTTTCTCACTCACGGAGCACGAGGGCTGGGGCAGTGCAGAGGCCTCTGGGCTCAGCAGCCTTTGGCTTCAGGCAGAGGGGGAAGGTCAGGTCCCCACCTCCTGGGTTACACTCTGCTCCCAGGTGAAAGGAGTGGCCCCAACCAGGGACGTCTCCTCCTGGCAAAGTGCACGGGAGCCCAAGGAGCTGACACCAGCCACACAGGTCCCTCTGTGAACTCCTGCTCAGAGGCGGTGTGCTCAGAGGCGGTGCTCAGAGGCGGTGTGCTCACTCCCTTCCACTGGCCAAAGAGATCACACGACCAAGCCACAGGCAATGAGGAACCCTGGTAGGCCCCAGATAA